TATATATATATATATATATATATATGTAGATAGGTAGATAAATAATTAGATAGTTAGATAACTAGATAGATTGCAGCCACCGATTTATCACCTAATCAATGGGACAACGAAAAAAAATATACTTTCGCGATGATGATGATTATTATTATTATTATAATATTCATTTTGCTCTCATATCAATGTAATAATATTGTTTTTTGTTTACGCATCTGTTATGTGTTATTAAGTTCAATCAACGTCATTGACGATTGATCGTCCTTTGATCGAAAGATATAAAAAAAAAAAAAGAAAAGAAAGAAGAAGAAGAAAAAAAAAAAAGAAAAAAAAAATGTTCGTATAACAACTATTGACAATTTATTATTGAACAAATATTTTTGGTCACTTCCAAAGAAAATATGTATTTATTATAATAATATACATATTACATCTACGCTATTATTTATCCACGCGTACATATATGTATATTATAATAATAACAATATTATATTAATAATAGTAATAATAATAATAATATTAATATTAATAATGATAATGATAATGATAATGATAATATTAATAATAATATTAATAATAATTTAAATCGTTCGTGAGAAATATTTTTCTTGTACGCGGGACAAATGTACATAAAATGATTTAAAAAAACAAACAAACAAAATGGGGATAAAAAAAGAAGAAGAAGAAGAAGAAGAAGAAGAAGAAGCAAAATGGATTATCGTACGAAATTAACAGAGAAAGAAAAAGAAAAGGTTATGGTTAGAAAATTGTTGCCGATAAGAATTTGTAAATAATATTTGTAGAGTAATGTAATATAGCGTTATTATTATATTATCGAAATAATCGTAGGTGAAAAATCATAGGAAAGAATTTAAACGAATATTTCGTTTTATTTAGAAGAAGAAGAAGAAGAAGAAGAAAGAAGAAGGGGGGGCTGTCTAACCAATATGGCTTCCTTACGCCATATTGGAAACAAAATAAAAACAAATTGTATTCGGGCCATTTAATATATATTTTTAAGTAAACATGATGATGATGATGATGATTATTATTATTAATAAAATTGTACGAAATTGAAAAATTATAAGAAAAGAAAAAGAGAAGAGATAAGTTTATAATAATTATTATGTTTGGGTCTCATTCATTAACAGCGCTGGAACGCATGAGGCCCTTCCGTGGTCCGCTGATTGGACAACCTCGCTCCAAAGAGAAACAAAACAAAAAAATAAAAAACGAATTAATATTAATAGTTATTTAGAATGAGAGTGTGTGCTTGTTTACTTCGATCGGTGGATAAAAACACAATTTATTATAGATTTTGATTATTATATTATTATAGAAAAAAAAAAAAACAAAAAAAAAAAAAAA